GTGCCGAGGCTGGTGATTGATGCGCTTTTCAGGAAGTATCTTGGAGAGACTAGATGGAAGAGGGAGACAGATCCAGTGGGAACCATTAGGTGTGATTTGTCTGGGTTTTTTTGCCATTGCTGTACTTAATGCCAAGCAGTTGTTGCATGCATCTAACTTGGTACCAATTCTCTTCATAGTGCCCAGAACAAGTGGTTGGCGGGATCTATGGTGTGTTGAATAGGAAACGGGGTCACGTCTTTGAAGAATCCCAAGTGGCAGGAACCCCAATGTTTGTGGTCAAGGCTTATCTACCTGTAAATGAGTCTTTTGGTAAGATGGTCCTTTCTCTCTAAGTGTGCCTGACTGATAGGTGTGGCATCCCACATGATTACCTGGCATTAATCAAATGGGAAATCTCACATTTTCTGTCACCTTCCTGCATTTTCTGCTTCAACAGTTCATTGCCTCAAAAGTAGTAGTTCCCCTTTTCCCCAAGTCTGACAGGAAGGCAGCCCACTCCAGCGGGCATCAAGTCCTCTTTGGCACCACTTGCTGATGTGCAACAACTTCTCCCCAGTTCAAAAGTGTTTCATGTTTACCAGGACACATTCAAAATCTAAGCCCCCTCTACACATGCAGGTAAAGGCATGCTGGGATTTAATGCACGATCCACACAATAATGCCTTCTTTGCACAGCAGGTGTGATTTGTGGGATCTCAGATCAGATCCCATCATGCCTTACAGCCAAAGAAGCAAGCTTCTGCAGCTGAGACCCCTTCAACTGATAGGGCTCCCAGCCACAGGGGTCCCTGACCACACGTTCAATTAACAGCATGTTAGGAAGCAGCTACCAAGTTATTATGCAATTTGTGGAGTAATTTTGTAGCTTCTTCCTCTTTCTGTCATGTCATAAACTGATTGAATGTGTGGCCAGGCGACCACTTACGGTGTGATTAACCAGGTAATGTGTAGATGGAGCCTAAGTGTGCTTACTAAAAATGTGAGCTGAAGCCCTTTCTACTCCACAGCAAGCTGGACCTTGAAAGGATTCTAGTTTCTGTGGTACTGGATTAGAAATCTTTATTTTTTTTGGTTTAAATATAAAAACTAAAGGGACAGATTCTCAACTAAGTTAAACTTCATTGAAGCTGGTAAAGCAAAGATGCCAAAAACTGATGTTTCCTATTAACATGGTGTGAGCTGATGTTCTTAAATACTGAAATCTGTCTTAATGTGGCTGAATACACTTGGGCTGGCAAGGAAGAAGCAGCACTTGGTGATGGAAGGGGCAAATGCTGAACGAGCTAGTTGTCCTTCTTTAATCGACACACTTGAGATTTGTACCCTTTAAGTACAGAGAAGTGCTTGGGACATGCGTGTTGTGGAAACCCCATCCTTGAAAGCTTTTAAGATCAGTTTAGATAGGGCTGATCCTGCCTTGAGCAGGAAGTTGGACTAGGCCTTATGAGGTATCTTCCAGCCCTAATTTCCTGTGACGGAGATAGAGCGAGAGAGAGAGAGGTTTATGTTTTGGTATGTGTCTTTCCAGCAGACAGTTATAACAGTGAAGTCTGATGCTGTTAGACCAACATACAAGGACTTTTGGCTAGTACAGGTTAATGTCTTGGAGAACCTGGTATAGGCTGTAATAGCTGGAGTTATTTTGCTTGTGTAAACTGCATCTCTCTCTGGTTCAAGAGATTCCAGACATAGCTGCACCAACCAGGCCTGTAGAAGGAGACATATCCTCTTCCCAAGGTGCAGGACCCACTGTGGCTTAGCTGCAGCTGTTTAAAACAGTGTGATCACAGTAGAGTTAGGTTAATGTCTTGTTGGGTTAATTGCAGGGCAAACGGGCACAGGAGCCGTCAGAAAGGAAAGGGTAAACTAGGACTGCTCTGTTCTCTTCTAAGACTTTTGTGACCTGGTTTTGGTTCTACCACTTTCCAGTGGGGAACCAGAAGGAAAGAATAGATGGTGTTGGGAACAGGGGAGATCTGCTTAATTCTACAAGTGCTTCCTTTACCTGCAGTTGATGTGCTACGAGAGCATTCAGCACTGGACCATGTTGTGATAAAAATGTAATGGACTAATTTAACTAACCCTTTTGGCTCTTCTGGGTCCTGCCACATGCCCAGGTTTGGATTAACTTGGCCTCAAAACAGCTAAAATTTCGTTGCCCAATGTAATGGTTGCAAAAACTATGGGGATTCAGAACCTCGACAAAGATAACAAAGAAAGTATTTTCCAAGTAACTTGACTCTCTCTTCCATCCTTCACCAGGTTTCACTGCTGACTTGAGGTCTAACACTGGCGGTCAGGCTTTCCCCCAGTGTGTCTTTGATCATTGGCAGATTCTGCCTGGAGATCCTTACGATATAAATTCTCGTCCTTGTCAAGTTGTGGCTGAAACACGTAAGCGCAAAGGCTTGAAGGAGGGTATCCCACCTCTGGACAACTTCTTGGATAAGTTGTAACCACATCCTCCACTCGTCATAGGTTACAATGCCTGGCTTCATATTACATTTCCTCATGAAACCAGGAGGGAAGTGGGAAGCTTGAGACCACCACATTGCAATTATGTCATGATCACCTACTAAAGAAGTAAATAAAATAATTAAGTGTTAAGTTGACTGACTTCTGAGGTTATTCTTGCTTGCAACTCTTTTAGTTATTTACAAGTTGGATAAAACATGTAGGAATTACTTGCCTAAAGATTTGTACATTGTACTTTCTTTCCTTGTTGCTTACCAGGTAAGAGGGCTGTTATGTCCATTTGACATAATACAGGAATTCCTGCAGAACGGTTCATTTGGATTTTTCTTAGCATCGCATTTCGTTTAGTTTCCCTCTTCAAAAAGGCACGTTCCAGACTAGTGATAAGTGTGCCTGGAACCCAGGCATTTCTTTAGGTGCTGGCATTCACAATGTAGGTAAGCATTTGTAACTTCTAACTAGCTGGATGTCTAAATTCCTGGTGCTGGGCCCCCCTTCCTCCAAGTGGGGTTCAGACTAGCTGATAGACAACCTGCTGTGCATCCCTCCCACAAAATACAAGATGGTGACCCCTTATGCCATTTAGCCCCCCTGTGGGAGACTGACTCAACTCTCTCCTCTGCCTGACTGGATTTGAATGCTGGTCTTCTACCTCAGAGTGCCCTGCTTGCACTCGGTGTTCTCTTCTGAAGCAGTTTTACTTTTCCCCCCCCCCAAAAGAACATAGCGACTCTTAGGACATGGGAAGTTGGGTTTCTTGTTCCAAATAATTTTTATACAGGAGAGGCTGAAAAATTCTCCTACTCTGAATATAAAATGAACCAGTTGCTTAAGTGCACATAACTGGTAGGATTTGAATTGAGGTTTCCTGCATCCTAGGTGGAAGCACCTCCTGTGGGCAGGCCTAGATGGCTCCCTGCACAGCAGCAGTTTCCATGGATCCTGTCTTTAAGTACTTTTCTACTTCTGTATTTGCATTTACTACCTTGATGCTACGAATTTGTTAACTGTTTGTAGATAGAAGGAAAGGCTTTAACTTGCTGTCCTAATCTGTTTGTTTGTACCCTCATGGGTAATACAACAATTGAACCTGGTAAAGGTGTGCCTGGTTATGCTCAAGGTACAAAACCAGGTAATTCTAGCATGGGAGCTTACTGGAAGAGAGGTACAGTAGTAGACCTCTTAATGCTGTGGAGAGCAGAGCCTTTCTATTAAAGCAGTTAGTGGTACACTGTGCAACAGCTGGTCTTTCCTTAAGGACGAACTTCTTGCCCACCCACAGCTGGTTTTGCCAGTCCAGCATGCTGCTCAGGCTTGTGCATCTCCAGTTGTGGGATTTCTTCACAAGTGGAAATAATTCAGAAAAATGCTGACTGTCTTTTCAGGAATGTGCAAGGGCAGAGGATGCTGCAGGCAGGGAAGGAAGCTTGCCAGACCCATCAGGAGAGCCTAATGCATGGTGCACATGTGGGTAGAACTACCATGGGGCTGTTATTCCACAAGTACCAAATGCTGTGGCTGTAAGCCTCATGCATAAGGTAACACACCTTATAGACATGCATGAGCAGCTTGCCTCAGCACTTTCATACAACACTACACAAGCCAGAGGCGGGTTATTATGGCTACCTGGAAATGAGCTACCTCACCTTGCTAGAGGGCCACGGGCAATCAGGCTGGTGTGGTGGTAAGTCAACTGCTGGGCAATTCTTTTACAACCAAGAACTTAATGTACTTTTTTGGGGGCAGGGTTCCCCTACATGATGTGAAAGGTACCTTTTACCGCTGGCTAGAGGTAGTGCTTCCCTCCATCCCATAGACTTCAGTGGTGCACAGTTCACTTGCTGCTGCCTAGCTGATGCTTCAAATTTTGGTCCAGGGACCAGTTTCCTGGTAGCTATTTTGCTGCTAAAATGGGCATGCACTGAGGAGAAGGAAAGCTTCCCACTTAACAGCTGGGCTCCAGCTACCTGGAGCCAAGTACCATGGGCTCTTCAGTTGTTTAGGGAAAACCAGCACCCCTTTGTACCAGGCAGCTTATTTCAAATAAGGACTTCAGTAGTAACACAGCATGAGTTGGTGGAAAAAACACTGCAGTAAGTGAAGAAGACCACAAAATTCCTGTGCAGCAAGAGACTTGCATGCAACCCAGCCCTCCCCCAGAAAATGCCAAGTTGGAAATTTGTCTCCAGCTGCATTGATTTGGGCTGCTTGAGAGGAGGGAAGCACTGAGCACTCAGAGCAGCACAAGCACTAGAAAAAGGAGCACTCTCCCTCCAAGCCAAGCAGATATACCCACCTGGGCCAGCACAGCATTTGGCCCATGTCAGTTTGTAAGTACTGAGACAGTGACACCATTTCATCATGAGCTTCTACAGCAATGATTAAGTAACCCTGGTTTTCCTTAAGAGATGCCAACTGTTGAAGCATGGATTGAATATCAGCTAGTACAACTGCTGGTTTTCCTTCAGTTCATTAGGAAGTTGGTACCGAGGAGCAACTAGTTGCCTACAAACAAACAACCAACAAGCAGTATGGCTTTATTAAGCATAAATCATGCCAGGGGGAGGGGGGGGGGGGAAAAGCTTGATCACTGATAGGTACAAAACTAGAAGACAAAGCGGGGGAAAATAGTAGCTGCTCTATTAAGACAAGCTGAACAAGAGCTAGAAGATCATACAAATAAAAAAGGCTCAGCGATGCAGAGAACATGGAGGAGGATTGGCAGAGGGCTCTACAATGAGCCTTCTCTGCATACTTGGTTCAGATACCATGATAACTGCCATGCATATGCCTACAACTGTGGAAGGCAAGCATCTCCCCCACTTAGTGAAAAGACAAAGTTGGGGAAAAGGCAGGAAACGAAGCAAGATTAAAGTGATGAGTGAAAACTGGTCACTACCTGACGAATTTTAAATAGATACTTGTGAAGCACAACACTTGGCAAAGTGGTCATGTCAAGATATGCAGAAGATACAGCAATAACGTGATTCCAATTCTGAAGCAAAAGCACTTCCTCATTCCTTTCCTGGTCTCATGACATCTGCATGCAGCAGTGCGAATACTGTGTACACTTCTGGCAGCTACACAAATGAAGCAGCAGAGGGAAAACAAAGAAAACAACTTACGGGGGAAGGGATGGAAAAGGGTTCGTTTCAAATCTAATCAGCAAATCCTTAGGTGGGCCAGCCAAACTACTAGGAGTATGTACAATTAGATCTCATATATATATATATATATATGAGATGAGATCTCATATTGTTTTTGGTTGTGCAGGGACAGTAAGTGCCTACAATCATTTGAGGATGCAATTACAGGAGTCTGTGGACAACTAGCAACACAGCAATAGACAGACAACAATTACTTTCCCACAGCATGGGAAACCATGCGGCAACCCTAAAAAAGGGAAGGCTCATTAGTCATTTAAGCACACCAATAAAGTCAACCTTGGGCAACATACAGGCTCAAGAATGATCCTCCACTGGACAAAGAATGGGATAAAAAAATTAAGTAGTTTCTTGGCAGCTGTAAGAGCTGCACAGAAAGGCTTGTGGCTCAATTTGACTATCTGTTCTGGTTAGGTAGTTTTAGAAAGAAAAGGAGTTAGTTGTTTGAACAAGCACTTGTGTTTCACTTGATACAAGAGGTCTAACCAGAAATTAAGGTCTACAGCCAGGCTCTGCACAGTAATGCTTTTACACTATGAATTGACAACGCACAGAGGTATGTGGATGATACAGGATTTGCATAGTTTTCTTTTTCTCTAAAAGTCTGCTAGGAAGAGGAAGTAGTCACAGTTTAGGATTTTGTTTGCATTCATAAGTGAACAACATGAAGTCAGGAGGAAAAAACCCATCAAACAATTCACGGAAGTATTTTCCAGGGTAAGGAGGAGGTAGGGAACAACCTAAACAAATATAAACACAAGTCATGGCTATTTCACAAAGCTTCATTCTCTCAAATGAAGTTTATTACAGGCCCCAGTGAAAGGATTAAAAGTTCAGCAACGCATACTTCTGCACCTTGTTCTTGTATCCGGGATAAATATATGCTCTTGTCATCCTAGAGCAGTTAAGTGCCATTATTTAAAAAAAAAAAAAAAGTTTTCTTTTTCTTTTTACATTATTGCTGTGTATTACAACAAAAATACAAAACCACTTGTGGAATCCATCTGGCAACAAAACCAAGCGTTTCCCCAGAACAAGCTGGACAGGGTAGTGGGCCTGTTCTGAATGGGTCTCTTTTTATTCCAAGTTTTTCTTCCGAGCGGAGGGAAAAAAACAAAACAAAAAAAAAAGAGTCTAATCACTTCAGTTCCTATTGTCACTGTAGTTAATTTAATCTCCACTTTCAGAAAGCAACAGAATCCATCCGTCTTTCAATAAATATCAAAATAACTTCCGAGATGCTGAAGTTGCGTGTCTCGGTTATGGTGAGCAGCTCTGTGCAATTGCTCCTCCAGTTTCTTGCTGCCCAGGGTTTCAGTCTAATGAGATGATGTCGGGAATGCTGCTTCCGCTACTAGTTATGACTCCAGTCTCGTTCCTGCTTGAAGAACTAACGTGAGTGCTGCTCTCGTGGTGGCTGGTTGAGGTGATGATGCTGCCAGGGGTGTTGCTTGTTAATGTTGAGGTGAGACTATCCAAAAACATAGGAGCACAGTACTGCTTGAAACAAACAATGATGCCGATAAGGAAGAGACTAGCTGCACAAGGGAAATGTATGCGCTGAAGGTACATTTCCCTTATAAATAGTAAGCAAGCTACAACAACCTCACTGCAACAACACACAATACACAGTAAGAATCAGAGGTCTGCACACCAGTATGCAAGCAAACCAAAAATAACACCACAGTGCAGACCCTGCTCATTCACTTGAGAGGGCCAAGCTGGTTCAAACATCACTTAGAGATGCTGGACATTTGGCACTATATTGGGGAAATACAGAGGTGTAAAATAAAGGTCTTGTGTTGCTACAAACAGTCTGTCATTTGTGCAAGGTCTGCTCCACAACTTGCAGCCCCCTCGCATATACACACAGCACCTTCCATCTTGTATGACACCAGAAACACTGCAAAATTCAGTGTGGACAAAGCTCTCTCTCTTCCACTCGCATGCAGCCAGAGTAACCATTTAACGGTATACAGCACCGCTAGCCATTCAAACAGGTTCTACTGCAAGTGCTGGGAACATTTTGGGCAGGTTCTTATGAGCAAAGGGGAAGAGGGCCATAAGCGATCTACTAGGAAGCATCCTCCCTTACTAGCAGGGTACTGGCAACTGCCCATCATGGAGTGTTCTGCATTTTTCTCAGAAAGATGCAAGTACTAGGTAGGCACTGTCTGAGATGGATTGGTTATACGGCACCTCCTATACACATGGCTAGTCCTGATTACTATTTTTAAGCAAGCAACCATGAAATACAAAAACTAAAAAAAGTTTAAAATTCCAATGTAGTCTAGAAACATACCTGTGGATCGACTGGAATTAGTGAAAGAAAATCCAGACCTAGAAAGATAAGAATAAAATTAATTCCCATCTCTTCCATGAGTTAAGAGTTTTGGTATAGTTTTAAAAAGAGTATTTTAAAAAGTATGCGTTAGCTATACAGCACTTAGTGCAGGGTAAATGTGACACTAATTTCAACCAACTACATTATAGGGCAAGGGAGGTGGGGGGAAGTAATCTAGTACAAGTGGAGCTTAATTAAATGAAAGGGAGGTGATGAGGTATTCATTGCAAATTTTGGGATAAATTTTATTTAATGTGGTTGCTTAAATGGAACTGTTGGTCCAAAATGCAAGTTTCACTGGCTGTTGTACCTGACTTGGCCAAAATGGGGACTTGGAGAGTTCTCTCTATTAGAGATCCTCAAATGAGACAAGGTGACTACATGCACAAGTTCAGAAGCAAGCAGCAACTCTCTTCCTTTACCCAGTGACAGCCAGCCAGGACACATTTCTAAAAAGTCATCCTCATTTTGTGTCTAGACAAATGAAAGAAATGAACAAGCCACTGTGAGCAGTTCAAACAATAAGCTTCAAGAGCAGGGACTAAAGTTTTCTCATCTTTTGCACTGGGGTATAGAAACTTCTTAACACTCCTAGCCACAAACCAATCTTGACACAGGTGAAAGCTGGACATGAAAAAAAACCCAAAAACCCTTTCATGACATACACGCCCCAGAGACCATAGCACATAGTGCTCCAGCTCCAACGGTGATGTTAGCAAATGACTTCCCAGAATGAATAATAAGCAGGAATTGAAGAAAAATCAAAAATCAATTTTGAAAAAGTGAAAAAGCAGGAATCTTATTTAAAAAAACCAAAACAAAAACAGCCTGGGAGCTGCAGTTTGGCCAGTTTTACATCTCAATATTTTGTCAGAAAGAGCTCAAGCGCTGGAAGCATAGCAGCCTGATACTAGAGAGACTTCAGTCTTTCAGTTCTGAAGACCTTGGCCTTGCCTTTCTCAGTTCACCAGAATGAAATGGCAAGTGGAATGGGCTACAGCAAAACCCATGCTCTGTCTCTCCCACTGACCCTTGCCCTCCAGCCAGTTCTGGGTAGTGGTCTCTTTCCTCCGACAAACACTTGCAGGAGACCCGTATGGACATAAGGAATCCACATTTGGATGTGTGCTAGAACTCCAGCTCATCCTTAATTCTCTCCGTAAGGCTTCAGTTCATGGTAAGGTTTGACTAACCTCTGAACTGTCCAGTCTAGAAAGACATTGGTTTTTCTTAAAAGGAGCAATAAAGGAACCAGAGAGCAGTGAAATGAGGGGAACGAGATGTACCCCACTGCCATCATCAAGGTGGTGCTGAAAGAGAGAGGGGGAGAAGCCACAGATGTCACAGGGAGGAAAGACAGCTTGGGGATGGGGGTGTTGAACAGAAACTGATCCAAGTTTGAAGCCTGCTGTCAACCACCATTTTTCTAGGTGCTGTATACAATGCAGTAGGTAGAAGAGTTCCCAGAGTCCCCACAAACAGCATTTTTTGCGAACAGCCAGGGTAGAAAATACCAGCATTCCCACCTTTTGTTTGCTAGTTAGCAGCAGGGTTGAAGAATACATCATAGGCATTTAGGGTATGTCTAGGTAAAGAAAGGCGATAGAGGTCAGCTTACACATTGTAGCTCACCTTAACCTTTTTCCTAGTCTAGAAATTACCACTAGGACCAACCTCAACCAGTTCAAAATTAAAGTAAAAGGTGCCTGTCCTACTCTAGCAATAGGCTTAGCTTAGCACACAAGTTAGCTGCATGGTTGCAAATTAAGATGCACACTCTTCTTGCTGTACTTTCCAGAAATACGTTAAAATCAGATGACTTGCTCATCTCATTGTGAACCCTCTTCTAGCCAACTCACACCGACTGCAGCTGTTGATTTGAACTTCCAACGTTTCAGAAGCTAGAGTCAGTATCTGAGCTTCGAAAGAGTCTAAAAACTGGCCTGCACTGCTCCAATTTTAAAATGGCTTTAGTGCAGTGCTCAGTTTAATCCGAGTCTGCATGGCAAAACCATATCAGTTCATACTGATGCCCCACCAATTAATAAAACTACCAGAAAAGCTTAAATATAACCATCACCTACCTGGCAAGTCTGATGAAATACTTGATATTGGTGGGTGGTGGAATGGTACTGAGTAGTCTGTTAATGATGGAGGAATAGCAGCAGGGTCAACCGTTGTCACACTGGGCACTCTTACAGTAGATGGTTGATACATGAGAACCCTGTTTTAAACAGCATGGGAAATTACAAACAACCTGGCTGTTAGTTAAGGGGAGAGAAAATTATGCACCACAGTGCACTCTCATTCACAAGGTCACTATATTACGTTACAACACAACTAGAGTGTGGCTACTCACTACACAGTACTCCACTCTAATCTCCTCTTTCATAACAGTCTTCATTATAACATGAACGTATCTTGTCTCTCAACAGCAGCTGTGACATAAGAGCAAGTTGGCATTAAAACAAAGGACAGTGCTGGAGTCATTTATAACACTCTACCATCCAGGAAAGAAATGGATATTTGTGTGTAAAAGTGCACAGAATACTCTGGAAATGATGGGCTGATAGCTGAAGCCAAGAAGCTTGCACATGTTTAAGCTTCCCCACATATTGCTTCTTCTATACAGACTTCTAGCATCATCGAGGTGGTTATCATCTGCATTATTTGCTCTCACTAGAGCAGAGATAACCAATATGCATCTGACAGCAAGCCCATTTTTACTTGCAACTTAAAGCCAGAGTTAAATTCAGCTCTCCAAAGGCGCAATACAAATACAGTAACCTACTGGGCCAACTATCCACCTGAATATTTGAGTAAGATCTTTTGGCACCTTCAAGTCTGTGGCAGAAACTTCTACAGGAAACTTATACCTGGGACATACATTACTACACACTGAAAAAGTCATATCCTGAAAGACTAGCATTTGTTGTTCAAAAGCCACAACACATTTAACATTCTGGTGCCCTGTGCCTGGCAAGCTGGCAGGAGGAATGTCTCCTAACAATGTGCAACAGGCATGGATCCTAGGAGCCGTGTGGCACCAGCTATGGCATTATGGAAGGGAAATCACCACTATCCTCTTTTATTTTCTAGTGAAAGTGATGTTTACAACTCTTTTCAGCTGGAATCAGTAATATGAGAAGATGCCTACTGATGAGATTCCTCCACTGTTCAAATGATGGCATTGGGAAGGGGGGGGTGTCACTTCTGAGACTTGTTTAAGACAAATAATCTGAGCTACAGACTTGCCAAAGGGCAACCCCGCATCTTATTGGCTGTGGAGGCTGCAGGGCTTGCTTAGCACTGCCACCAACTGAAGAAGAGAGAAAGGTAGTAATAGTAGTAGTTGTTGTTATCTGGGGGGGATACAGGTGACAATATACCTTTTTTTTTTTTTTTTTTTTTTAAAAAAAA